TCTTTTACCGATTGGAAATCGACGGCCCCGTCTCAATATTCCCTATTTTCTATCAATTAAGCAAGGAAATAAGGAAATGGAGGAGGGTGATATCGAGGATGCCAAGAAGAGTGATTTTGTAAGTTATACCTTGTATTATTTTGGAGTTTTGACGGAGGAGGACCTTTTACTTGATCTTCTAGTGCTCTGTTAGGGGTTTTGGGTCCCGCATGGGTTCTGTCTTCTGCTCATAACTCAGCATTCTTATGATAACTTTCGGAGCGCGAATTACAGCAGTTATCATACCGAAATTTTTTCAAAAACACGAAATCCTCCTGCGCCGGGTTCACAGCTGATGTCTACCAAGAGGTTCATCGCGTTAAACGTGTGGGTGTTGCAACATTATGGCATAAAAGGCATTGAGATGAGAGGGTTTGTTGGATTCCTATAGAATATCTTCTATCTTTTAATGGTCAACATCCTCTCATCCCTCTTCTTTTCCCTTTTCTAGCGTACATGCTGCTCGGTATGAATACAGCCATGGCCTCAATATAGATCCCATCTTAACTGAAGCTTTCTTGTGTAAATGGAGCTGAAATCTGTATCTTTGTTCGTAAAAAAAACCTTCACTTCTCAAAGCAACGATATATGAGAATATTTCTTCTGTATGGTGTCACTCGCTGTTTTTACCATGCAGAATCTGTGTTCGCGCAGTCATTATTCCAATGCGCCACCCGTTGAAACTGCACGATGAGAACTCCTTCGTTAATGCTTTTTTTAACTTGTTCAATTTGGGGCGAGAGGCGTTGAGCGCGCCGCTCATGCGTTAATTAGGCCAAGGTTTTCTCGGCAAGTTAACACGCTGGGTGATTGGCATGGCTTCGGTGGAATAACTGACATTATGATACTTAGCGCTCGCGGATAGCGCGATTTACCGATGGTTATCTCGGCTTCTGACCATGTAGTCACCCCTCTCATAACAGTTCTCCAGCAAACCTCGGCCTTGTGCCCGAAAAGGTCCTTCTGGAAACCCATTATAGTGACTTACAAATTATTATCGTTGTGAGTCATCAAAACCGCAATACGAAACAAAGTAATCTATCTTCTGCACTTATACTGTTTACACAGAATGCAATTTTAAGGCCGAATATCTCGATAGCAAATCATTTGCGAAAAGGCGTATCATAACAGTTGTGCTGCTGCTTTATTTCGGTTGTTTTCCCAAGCTTACTGCTGTGTTTGTAGTTTCTTTCTTGCGAGGAGCCCTTCTTATCTGGCTAAGGTCAGGGTGAGAAATCTGAGCTGTTAGCCGTCTACTGTAGAGAAAACTGAGGATATTTCTGTGTTTGGGTAACTGTTTATCAGCCGCTGGAGCAGTACAAACTGACCATTGGAGGGGCTCTTTGAGCAATAAGCCTTTTCAGGCTCCAGTGAATTAGAAATTCGATGAAGTGAATGTTAGAGTCAAGTAAGAATGCGCGTTTCTTCCAACTAACGTCATTATTACTGCTCTGCAGTTCCGTTGATTGCGTGTGCTCCTCTCCAGTCGTATAGTTCGCGAACCCACCCATGGCAGAAGAATGTTCTTCAGTTGATTGTGAGAATCTGCAGGTTTTGTCGAGCTTCTGATATAAGATTTGGTTATTCATTTTTTTGTCGGCAGAAAGTGAGCGATGAGAATGGGATTTTGCGTGAAGGAATGAATGTTTGCCTCAGGTGAGCTGGTGACAGAGCTTCGTGATATGTGAATTGGCGGTGTCAGTACCCCCCCCCCCTCTTGACCCTCCTCAAACTTCCTCATCTGGTCCGAAACTCCTTTTTCCTATACCATCATTCTGAACTTCCAACCGCTTTTCCCCCAGTTTTCGAAACTTGTTTTCCCTTAGAAGGGGAAGCATCGACAGGTTTCTCAGCGATGCTGTACCACGACGCTTGAAGGACAGAAGGAGAAAACGCTCTTCAGCTTTGTGTACGGCAGCGTTGAGACTTCGCGCGCTGTAACGCGCGTCGGCGCGCTACCATTGCTAGGGCGTCTAGTGCTATAAACACGAACGCAGCCGCACATGGGAATCGATCGGCGCCGGCCGCTAGCGTTTTGGAGAGCAGGGGATATTAAAAGGAGAGGCGTTGTCTTTACACAATCTACTACACTCCTATTTCCTTATACTCTTCCGAAGCTTCGGCGGCCAATGCTTCATCCATACAGCTGGCTTGATGGAGCAACTTATACTTATACCTGCATTTCCCCACACTATCGAAACAGAAGCGGCTTGCGCCGATCAATTCGGTCTGCGGCAGCTTTCGCGTCTGGAGCGCTGTAGCAGTGGTAGCGCGTTATCGTGAAGTTTGGAACGCGCCTACCTTGCTGGCTGTACTGACTCAGTTCTCTTGGCATCCCCGAACAATGAAATTTTGAAGTTGTGTAATTGGTACAGTGCAGTTCTCAGCGGACGGTGGGGCGGTCCTAAGGCCACGCTGGCGAGCGGCCCGATAGTTGCCTGTCGGTGGATGGCCGCAAAAACCTTGCCTCTGCGTCTCTTACTCTGCACTCTGCGCTCTAACACACGCCGCCGCACCGTCTACCCACTCTTCCGCTCTGGGCTCTTACCGATCGATAATTGCTCTCGATCAGCTGATTCCTGCCGCATTTTCGCAGTATTTTTGCTAGATTCAGCTTGTTAAAGCTGAAATTTTTCGACTTTTGACTTCAATGTTCGAAGGTGAGTATTCTTACTGAAATTATATCACATTTTGCATGAATTTAGCATTAAATTGGGAAAGAAAAAAATTGAAATGGGAATTAGCGAACCATTAAGGCAACTTCGAGCTTCAAAAAAGTGTCAGAGATGGTTCTCGATAATAACGAGATCACATCTGAGACACTGCTTTGAAAACTCGGTCAATATCATAAATAAATGGGGATATTAAGGAAAAGTTTGGAGAAATTGCGAAAATCAGAAAGAAAAACAAGTTTCCTAGGGGAATTTCATGCTAAATTCATGCAAAATGTGGAATAATTTCAGTAAGGATACTCACCTTCGAACATTGAGGTCAAAAGTCGAAAAATTTCAGCTTTAACAAGCTGAATCTAGCAAAAATACTGCGAAAATGCGGCAGGAATCAGCTGATCGAGAGCAATTATCGATCGGTAAGAGCCAGAGCGGAAGAGTGGGTAGACGGTGCGGCGGCGTGTGTTAGAGCGCAGAGTGCAGAGTAAGAGACGGAGAGGCAATGATGATAATCTCCTGAAAGTTTTCGGCTTCCCATCGACACGCAATCACCGGAACGCTCGCCAGCGTGGTCGTAGGGAACGCCCCACCGTCCGGTGAGCGCTCAACTGTAAATAATACATATCACCCTATACATATAAAGCGCTTCGTCTGTTTGTTGTTTGTAAGTTTGTCTGTCCGGAAATTCGGTTCGACCTGAAGAACGACTTGGAGAGGTCGGGTCAAGGTGGGGATGGGTAGGGCATGGGACAAGAAATAAAAAGCACACTTGACCTATGGGAAGCCCCGCCCACAGTGGGCGGGGCACTCGCCGAAAGTTTGGGGTTCCGCAGAAAAATGTTCATAATTCGCTTCCGGAGCAGCTTAAAGATGGGGAAAAAGGGAATAAGGTTAGTAAGGAGTCGCCAGACTAACTGTGGCAGACACATCCAAAATGGGCGGGGCGTACTCAAGGTGGGCGGTGCTTCTCGCAAAATTCAGTAACCCGGTTCGCGAGAGTGTTTGGAAGTCGCAAA